CTTATCATCTTCTTTAAGGTTAGTTTTATTAGTTCACTCGCCTTCCTCGAAATTAAGGATAAGTGTTACTTTCACAGCATTGTGACACTGGGTAGTATGTAAATATTTCCTCTGTCTTAATGATATACATTGTAATTTAGTCAAAGAGAACTATATTTGGGAACTGAAATGACTGTTGAGAGTGTAACACTTGCCTATTAGTGTTCCAAGAGGATGCTTCAGTGTCTCTCCCTGCTATCTGTAGCACCTTCATTCCCTGTCCTGAGGTTCCCTTGCAAAGGAGGCCAGCACTCATTCTGTACTAGATGAATTGAATATATCAGTCTTTGATATTAACTAATTAAAAATTACAATAACCAACAAAAATGAAATTAACAAAGTGATGTGTTCATATTTTTCTAGCCAGAATACAAAATAGCTGACCCAATCTGCACATTTGTGTTTTCCATCTTTGTTTTGGCAACTACCATCACCATTTTAAGGGATATTTTGATTGTGCTAATGGAAGGTAGGACCTGATTCCAGAATCAATAAACTTATATTTTTTAGTTTGTTTTTTCTCTCTTTTTCTCCATAATGCTTATATATGCTAATTCTGATCATACTTTGAACCTGCTTACAATTTTAATCTAAAATATTTTCTGCTATTACTCTAGGTTTATCCATATGCTAGTTTTGCTAATGAACTCTGAGTTGCTTTTGTCTGTCGTATGTGTAGCATTGCTTTGTATCACCCTTTTGGCATATGAATTTCCTTTACCTGTGTGAAATAGAAGTCTTTGTAAAAAAAAAAAAAAAAAAAAAAAAAAAAAAAAAAAAAAAAAAAAAAAAAAAAAAAAAAAAGACTGTGCCTTGAACTATTTCTGTTAAATAGATTGAGTGCAAGAGGCAAAAGTTTAAAAGATTTTCAGTGACACCAGTCCAGAAAAGCAAGCTGTTGGGCCTTTCCACTCATGTTCAAGTGCACTGGAATAAGCAATTCTCAGTACATCAACTGCAAGAAGAACTAGGCTTAACAATATTTAATCCTGACAGCTATGGACCTGAACATTTGATTTTTAAGTCCAAATGACTCGAGCATTCACAGAGGCATGTTTTTGCCTTCCTCACACTGAATGATATAATGCAACCTCTTTCTCAGCTATGAAAACATAAGGATTAAAGGGAAAAGTAGCTCTAATGGTGCTGGTTTTGAATGGATACTCAGTGTGACTGTCTGCACGGCTATTTACTTCTCTCTTTCACTTTGCACCTTCTTCTGTTTCAAGAAATAATTTTCTAATACTGTTCTACAGTAAAGCTTCACTCTAGGGTTGTTTTGCTTTCAGTGATTGTGAGATAGAGATACATCCATATAGAAGTGTACCTAGACAAGAGTGCATCAACTGGCTGTACTCTGGCTGTCAAAAAATCAGAAGATGTCTTCATTACTGAAAAAAAAATCAAACCATCAGGAAGGTCTGGCAAACTCTGACACTCAGGAGTCTCTTTCTCAGAGCAGTGACTCCCACCTTCCGTCAGCAGTGCTGATATGCCAAAATCACAGTGCTGTGTTCCCCCTGCAGCAAGCCCTTTTACACTGTCCTCCTGGAGGGGGCTCTGAAGCCAGACTCCTGTCTCCTAAATAGCATTCTGCCCAGAATTTTCTGAAGAGAAATTGGATGTTGGAGCTGGTGTTGGAGGTGGCTCTTATCTCATGGATCCAGCCTTGTCCCACGTTGTGAGCTCCACAGCCCCTGTGACTGACTGTGTCACGTAGGCACTGATTGTCCATGGTTTTCTCTAAAAGAGCATGAGCATGTCAGCATCATAATCTATTAAGTCAGTACTCCATATAGCATATCACTGTTGTAATAAATGGATAGGACAAAGCATACAACAGTGAGGTCATTGAGAATTACACATAAGTATCAGTTAAGATTTAAAAGACAAAATTAACCACTACTGTGCTCATGATTATTATACTTCATAACTGGTGGAATTAAAAATGTTTTTCAGTTTACTGATCCAAGTGGATCATGATGAGCATCCTAGCTCATAGCTGCTCGCGTGCATTTGCAAATTCCCAGGCCTTACTCTAGGGATGATGTGAAGTTAAACTTCTTATTCAAATTTGGATTTAGATTAAACTCTGAATTTCACGTTGCAACTCATCCCGTCACAATTGTCCTCACTCTGAATGAGGGTCACCACCATCATGTATTGTAAGAAGGCTTGTCTAGGAAAAAAAAATCACTAGCTACTCAATAACTAGACCTGGGATTTAATCTCATTTAAGATTCCTGAGTCAAACCATTTCAATCTTTACGTTCATCTTTCTTTCTCTGCTAAATAGATGCTTCTCTATTGTGTAAATGTATTGAGGACAAAATGCCCTAGAGGTGTTCAAGTGATGCCATAGAATCTGCACTCACAAAATATGTTGGTGCAAAACTAGGGCATGTTCTGGCTAAATAGCTCACCCTATGTAAACAGAACCCTCAGGGTATCTCCTAAAACATGCATGAGTCTCAACCTTCCATGGACAAGTATATAACAAGGGGTAGAATTAAATAGCACAGTGAACTCTGAAATAGATGGACTTTTCAAAGCATTAAATATTTTTATAAAAATCATACATCTAAGTGAAAAAAGGCTCATGATGCATTTTCCTCCATCAATCATCATTTCAATCCCTTAAAATATTATTTTTCCTTTTCAGGAACATCAAAAGGATTTACTTATGATGAAGTGAAAGCAAGGATTTTAGCAGTTGAGAAGGTGGAGTCTATTCACAACCTTCATCTTTGGTCTCTGACAATGAATCAAACTGCTCTGTCTGCTCACATTGCCACAGGTCAGTAAATTTTTGTAAGCAGAGAGTAAGTATTCAACTGCTGTCTAGTAAAGGTCAGTCTTTCCTGATTTGGATCAAACTGACTGTATATCAGTTACTTGTTAAAAATTGTCATGATTTTGTTGGAAAAAATAAAAACAACAACAATAACAAGAAAAGTTCTCAAATTCTCTTCCCTGAAATCTTGCCAAAACAACAGGGATCTCTGCTTAGCCCAGTGATGAACGTTGAGAGTGGATAGGGAGGGGAACTCCAGGCTAGAGGTCTTTCCCTTTTACCCCTAGTCCTGGAGGGGGAGGTGCTCCCTTCCTCCTCACCCCCGCCATGTGCCCACAGAGACCACAGGAGAAGGGCAGCAGCAGGGAGAGAGGCAGAGAGAGTTTATTGTTCTGGGTAGCGACTTAAATACCTCTTGAGGGGATTACAAACTGACCATTGGGGGTTCAGGAGGTCTTACAACTAGCCAATTACAATAAGGGGTTAACAACCAATAGATAAGCTTTCAGTTTTCTCTCAGACACTCCAATGGTATGGATAAGAGTGAGGAACCTTGGGAAGAAGAAAGGTGAGTTTACACAAAGAGTTACAAAGCCATTTTGGAAGCATGTTCACTTTAAACCACATTAAAAATTCTCTATCCTTTTATATATTGCAAAACTACCCCAACAGCCCAAAACTTGAAAACTACAGAGGCTGTGAAGCAAGGAAGTAAACCACAAGATATTTTAAATAAATTAGAAGAATTAGGCTCAGACTGGATTTTTTTTCAAAATATCAAATAGATTTTGGGGTGGATTTGTCAAACTTGAAAACTGTTGATCCCTATAACAAAAACTTATAGGGCAAATCTGCATTGCAGATGCATCTCTAATCATAAAACAATCTTTAAACATAGTTTGGAATGTAGAGAAAACTCCATGGGAACAGTTAATATTTTAAAATATTTTTTAAACTGTAATTCTTGTCCGAGTTGACAAATTGTGCACTACACAGATCAATTTTCTCATCTGTATGTTTGCTTTGTATATATTAAGATCTATTTAACAAAAAAAAATCCACCTGCATTTAGCCAAGGACAGGTTCGGAAGTGAGGTCCTCCATGATGTCCCCACTTCCCAAAAACAGAGGGTCTATCAGCCACCCAAATCACTTGGCACTGCTGCTACCCTTGTGACTGGATAAACTAATCTTTATTAAGCATTTCTGGTTTCCTCCAGTCTTCTGCCAGACTGAATTTCTCTGGTGATTACTCTTAGCTTAGCTCTTGCCAAAAGTTGCGTATTCCAACCACATTTGAATGAACAATCTTTTGCTGACATGGAGGTTCTTGAAAGAAGGATAAAAAGGACAAGAAACACTTCTCAAACAAGCTTCTTGGTACAAGTTTCTGTCAGTAAACACTTACTCTTCTTTAAAGTATTATAAAAATGTATGTGTTTTGATTATTTTTCCGCTTGCTATCTATAGCAGACACAACGGACAGCCAGAAGATTTTGAGAGATGTTACCCAAGCCCTGTTTGAGCACTACAGCTTCCACTCCATCACTATTCAGATTGAATCAGGAGAGGATCAGAAACAAGACTGTATCTTCTGTCAAGAGCCCAGAGACTAAAGGGAGCAGGACTCTGTGCCAAATAATGATTACCCCTCTTGCAGGTCAATGGAGACTATCTGTGCTGGTTGTATGTAACTGATTAACAACAAATGGCAATTAACTGGCATAACAAGCCCAGTGCATGGTCCTTTCATTATTGGTATCATCTACCATGAGAGAACATGTATTGGATCCATCCATCAGCCAGATTGCCTGTCCATCAGCAGTTTCTTTCAATTACAAGAGAAATTTCTAAATTATTCTTGACTAGAGCAGCATATTGGCACTAAACAACACTTAAGAGTGGCTGTTTGTAATTACAGGTAACAAAAAACTAATCAACCTTCAAATTACCAACAGACCGATTATCACAAAGCATAATGAAATGTTCTTTTGGTGTTAACAAAGCTCAACACTCAGGATGAAAGAGAAAAATTAAATTACCACAAGGGATGAAGGGATCTGGGAAAGAAAGTGATGGTGGCTTGTGCTTTCCCTGCCTTTCGGCAGACACTCCTCTTCCTGATACATACAAGTATCAGATGTGTACCATACTCTGCATCATGGATCACAAGAGAATTTACTCCATTCACATCTGGCAAATAGCTCTTCGGTTTTTTAGCTAGCCCTGTTTATCTTTCATCTAGCCCTCAGGCAAACTCTTTTCTGCCAGACATAAGCAATATTCTCTACTATGGAGACAACCCATGGCTCACATAGCACTGCATCATGATGAGTTACGACAGGAGATTTGAGGTGGACTTTTGCATGTCCGTGTCACAAGGTACCACTGAGTCGGGACAATAAAATAGACGAGGTGCTCCTGAAAAATGAAAAAACAATTAGGGCAAGGGAAGAATGGGGCCCATTCTGAACATTCTGTCAAGTGTCATAGATCATAGTACAGCCTGTGGGGTGCTACCCAGTAATACTACATCCTGAAGTTAAAAATACCTTTGGCATATCACACAGCCGTTCACTGTAAAGGGAAGAGAAGCATTTCTCCTTCTGGTAGCTAATTTCCACATTTCCTAACAGGATATGTGTTGTGGGTTAGGAATGGTATTCCCCAATTTAGTGTTCCTACCAAAACACTCCAAACCGTGAGCTGCTCGCTCACTCCCACATTTCCCTTCCCCCTCCCCTGCAGCAGGATGGGGAGGAGAATTGGAGGCACAAAAGGTAAAGATTATGGGTTGAGATAAGAACAATTTACTGGAAACAGCAATGAAATAAGAAAATAAATAGTAGCAGTAACATATTATTAGTGACAGAGTGTAAAGAGGTGAACCACTCCCGAGCAAGTGCTCACTATTACACCATATGGAGACCTCCAACAATACCCCACCGTGCCACTACACTACGTGACCCGTACGGAACCCCTGTCCCTGGAAAATGTTTTGTGGTGGTGTTTTGATGTCAGGTGGTATAGAATAACCTCTGTGTCTTAACCATGCCACCTCTTGGCTACTGCAAAAATCAACCCTGTCTTGGCCAAAACCAGGGCAATGTGTTAAATTTTCCTCCTTTTCATGCCTGGCAATGGTTATGGCAAAACTTTGAACAGAGTCAGGTCTTGCTCCAGTGCCTCTATTTTTGCCCAAGCAACTGAATTAAACTCTTACCTATCAGCAAAAGCAAGGGTTGCACTTCAAAATGTATGCTCCAATGCTTCAAAAAACAACTTCAATTCTGCCCCTGTTGATAATAATGCAGTTTTGTTTTCCATGCAGAACTGACCTAATGTTTTGCTACTCAACAATCTTCTCTCCAACAGCTGTATGGCTCACCTTACTAACAGGTTTGTTAGAACAAAATAAATTATGTCATATCAAGTGTTACTGAGTTTCTAGACTGACAGGTGGAAGGACCACTGTGTTATTGAGGTATAAAGAGGCCTTGCTTTTTAGGGAATTAAGTTTTATTTACAATAGGTTCATATTAATTTTCTATTTTATTATCTTAAGGAGATTAGAATTTATTATTGGGGCTTTTGGCTACACATAACACATAACTATGTGATGATGGATTGATGTATTAAGCTGGCATTTGTTACCGGGTAGGGGGAACAAGAAATTACTCTGCTTTGCGGAAGATCTTAGTCAGGTAAACCTCCCACTGAAATCAGATGAGATATTAAAGCAAAACACCCACTAAGAATCTCATGAGTATCTCATTATTTACCAGCTTGAAAGAACTGAGGCCACAGCAGTGGTATTCAGTACAAGGATAAAGACAATTATTGCCCTTCACAGCTGAAACTCTAGAAGATAAGGCACAGATAAATCAAAGCACAGTAAGAAATTCTAAATGGAGAAGTTAACTTGTATTTTGGCCAGTTTCTCTTCTGGTATAATTTAGCGTAGTTACCTCCTACCTAAGGCAACTCAGCTGTACTTGTTAGGTAACCTGAATATTCTTTTCATTAGTTAGGGAGAACAAGTTAATAGTGTGACCTTCATATGAAAAAAACTATCTTTCCAAATGTCTGAAATAAAATGAGGACACAGACCTGGATATAATAGTGACTTCTGCAGCACAGTTTTATGGTCAAGGATGACATAAAAGATAATAAGTGGGTGACAAGAATGTCCATATAGGACACAGATTCAGATCTGAGATTTGGGTCAGGATAGAGAAAAAGACAAGAATTTTAAGAGCAATAGAGGATCTTGGAGAAAATTTGAACAGAAAAGTGATAAGGTTCACCAAGAAAGTCATGCTGAGTGGTAGAGCTGTGAAAAGGCTGGGTGGAAGCAACACAAGAGCAACTGGAAAAAAGAAGATGCAGTAGTCAGCACCAGGACTGCTGAGGCTATCATGCAAATTAATTGAAAGGATGGGAAAGTGTTTTATTACGTTTTGGAAACAGGAGCCATGAAATCTAGAGATACAAGGAAAGAAGGAGTTAATTCAAAATAATGATACTTTATTACAAAAAGCAGGGGAAAGTTGTAGAAAAGGTTTAAGAGAGGGCTGAGGCAGCAACTTCCATCCACAGTAATGTAACCTGGGTATGTGAGGAGTAAAGATCAGGGCAGGAATGGGGAGGCAGAGGAGAAGTCTGGGTTTGTTAACAGCAGTAGATGTATTTCAAGCAAAAGAATTTAACCACATATCTTTAGCAAAATCTAGAGACCTATGGGAATTTTACCTAAAAATGATAGATTGAAGATGAATTTAGAGCAAATATTTACCTGTAGTTATGAATGGTGCTATAAGGAGATGAATCTTTAATGCTCCTGCTATGTATATGAATGTAAAATGTATGTTTGTTCTTCATTCATGTCTAGTTTGATCTCAGAGATATTATCTTGAGACAAGGTTGTTTTCAGAATACTGTCTGACTGGCTGAGAAGGATTTCTGCAGAAATGCTACTGCGATATACAGAGGCTGAGAAGTCAAGAGACAATTTCTACACCTGTCTGCTTTTATTAACTTTTCATCCTTTTGATTGTCTGAAAAATAACTACAAGAAAGCTGACCAAAAATTGCTATCTCTAAATCATTCTTAGGATGACTGTGAAATGGAAAAGGGTTTGTCATATAAGTGGTCTGTTTTCGATGCCTGACTGTTTTTTGATGTAGTTCAGTTCATATGGACAAGTACATGTCTTTACTGGGTAGACCCTACTGAAATTTTATAAACATAAGTATATTAGTTTTCCTCTAAATTTTAAAGTAGTTATTTTGCAGCTTGTAAATTATATATTTGTCTGATCCCCTAAAAGTACTCTCTTTTTCACTTTTCACAAGGATAAGAAGTTTGTAGAAAGTCAAGATTTTTTGGAGTAGAAATTATGAAATGAAAAAATGCAAAACTTTCCTCATTCAGCACTGACAAAGAGTCTAAGTGCCAGTAGTGTGCTGAGATGACCATCAAACAATGACAGAGTATTTATAATTATTTGAACTGTGAACAGTTAAGGCACAACAAATCTGTCATTAACACATATGGAATGGTCTCTTACTCTACCTAAAGTCATAGACATAATTCTGTATTCTCCTGTCTGAGATGTGATTATGAGAATTGCATTTGAAATCGAGGATTATATTACCCACTTAATGTGAGAAATCACAACAATAATTCATCATCTCTGGAGGAAAGCAAACAGATATCCCTGCCCATGGCAGCAAATAGTGGCCTAAGCAACAAGGACTGTGTATGTCTGCAATATGATTCTTTCCAATGTCAAGAGGTTATATCTGTTTTTGCTCTAAACACTTTTTCCTCAATTAGAAAAGCTAGTATGCCCTAACATACCTTCCCCAGTGCCTTCCCCTCAGCCATAGCAGATGTGTTCTCCTTCCTTTTTTCATCCTCTTTGACTATTGTTCCCTTCTTCTTTGCTCTTATATTTTTCCCCACTTGGTTTTTTTCATCAGTGCTCTACTACCTGCCTATTCAAATTTCAATGCCAGCATTTCCTTACACATTGTTACATATCATTTCTGCTTATAGCCCTTCCCATTCCTCTTCATCCTGTGTGTTAGATAAAAGCTCCTCAGAAAAAAACTACCTTTTGCTCCATGTTTGTTGAAAACATTGCATAATGCACCATCTTTTTTCATAACAGGGACTTAAAACCAAAGAGAAACAGCCATTCCAGTCATCATATATTAGTCCATGTCAAGTACCCATATGTACTTACTTTGTACTAAAGTAATTTAGAACTTTTGTCACCAAAAAATTATCTGAGCTATCTCCAGCTTATGGTACTCTTTCATGTTCTCAAGCTTTCTGACAATCTCTTCCAGCTAAGAAAAATAAAATCCTTTCTCACCTGAGTACACACAGTTTAAACAAGAAAGGAATTAAAGACATCCTGTTGCTTAACTGCCTCCTTCAACTTCTCTCTGCTCGGAGTTTGTGTCAGACAATCAGTGTCTAGCAAGAGTGCACTGCAGCAAAGGAAGCTTTGGATAGCATCCTGGTGGGAACAGTGTCTGGAACGGGAGCACAACAGAGGGGTTATTACCTGGTTCCTAGTGAACATTCACAATTTTCCATCCCAGG